TTGGTTGAATCTATGCGTCTTGAATGTGTTGTTCTGCAGGAATTCGTGTTTTAATTGGTGCGTCAATGTACGGAATGGATCGGAAATTTGATATGAGTATGTTTGACGCGTTCAGAAGGTACCGTGTTGGCCGTTTTTGGCAAATTAATGTCAGGATAACACAAAGAGAAAACTTTGTAGTGATGGGCATTAGCTATAGTGAATTGAACTGTAGACAGTATCTGCTGTCGTCCCACCGACAAAGTCACGTCCACAAATCATTTCAAACCAGTCACTGACACTCGACTTCCCGAATCCACCATCACGAAACAGGTTCTTTAGAGTTCCGAAACAAGCATGTCCGTGATTATCTCTAGTTGTTGCTTTCCTTCTCGCTACATCATGATGTCATTTTCCTAGATGAGAGTCAAAATTAGCTGATGCATTTTAGTAGAAGACCTGGCTTTCCGCGAGCGCGATGAAGCCCTCAGCAGCCCTGCTGCTCGGCGCGCTGGTGCTGCTGACGTGTCACGCGGTTTCACGCGTCGAATGCGTGGCTCTCGCCAAGTCACAGGGTGCGTGCCGCCGTGAGAATCATCTTGATCCGATGACGATGGTTATTTGAGTCAATGAGTCAAACGAATGATCCGATCATGATTGAATCAATGAACTATTGAACACGTACCGGCGTGCGTGCTGAGAAACCTTTGATGTAGAAACTTCTTCCCGTGGCGTCACGCGCCCACTTAACGCGTCTTGGTTTTTACCATGTGCACTGCGCGGCGATCCCCGGCAGCACCCCTGGGCTGCGTCACCGTGAGGTGGCATACATCACATTGCCATCACGGCGTGAGAAACCCAACATGAATACAGCACTGTAAATCTATCACCATGAGTCTATTACACAATAGATCATACAAAACCATTATCGGTGGGGATCCATCATCACAAGACCTCCCAACTAGGCGACCAGCAGACGAATCTAAAAAGGCAACGCATTCGTCAGTAAGCGAGGTAACGATAGTCGAAGTGCATTCAACGAGAGGAGGATGGGAGATGAGCGGAGAAAATAGGATAGCGGAAGAGGAGAGGGGGAGGGGAGAGGAGAGGCGGCGGCGCTGCCTTTCTCGTTCCTACAGTGCCCTTCCTATACACTGGCCGGAGGTGGAACAACATGTGTGAAGTGGGTGGGAATGTGATGAGTGAGGTGGAGGGCATGTGATGAGCGGACCAGGGCGCCTGATGAGGTGGGGAGGATGAAATGAAAGCAGTGTTTCAACCACCGTTTGAATTGAATCCCCTCTGTTCCTCTGCCCTTCTCTCTTCCAATGGCTGCCCTTCTCTTCTCTCTTCCACGCCCCCCTCCCTGCCCTCCCCTCCTGCCGCCAGCGCAAGTCCTGCTGGACTGTCAGAAGGCGTGGGGCACAACGTTTGATGCCTGGGTGGTTGGTGGGGACTGCGAAATTGCCAGCAGCGTCACGTGCGACTCCCAGGGCATGATCACGCAGATGTGAGTGAACCCTCATAGACCCCCATGGACCCCCATGGACCCCCATGGACCCCCATGAGCCCCCGTGGACCCCCATGGGCCCCCACGGACCCCCATGGACCCGCATAGAACCCCATGGACCCTCATGCTTTAGATGTGAAAACTTGTGAGTGATGCAAAAAGGCATGGGGGTGGACCCACCATGTCGACCCTGTCGTGAAATAAATATCCTTGAAACATGTAGCATGGCTCCTCCTGGCTTGTACTCTCCCCCCTCCACCCGCCTCCCTTCTTTCCTCCCGCTTTCTGAAAAACAGCAACAACTCACTAGTTGCCTCGCTTTCCGAACAAGTGGAAAGAGAAAGTGGCATAACATCCATGCATGCTGTGCCACATACATGCATGCAGCGATCATGTTTTCCCTCCATCACTAAAGGCACTGGCCTTTCCTTTCCTGCAACCCAATGTCCGGTCATATCAGAATATCTCTGATGAGGATTTATTAGGGTCCATTTCGGACTGAATCCATCAACATCCATTCTTGAGGCGCCTAAGAGACCATCTCCTCCATTCTAATGCCCACCCGTCAGGGGCATTTCCAACGAGAAATTAAAAGGAACAATCCCTGACTCCATCAGCAAACCTCCAAAGGCTCGTCAACTTGTGAGTGCTGCTCCTCCTTGGGTGCACAAGCAAGGCACTCACACCTTGTTTTGCGTGCTGCGCTGCCTGGACCTGGGCACTGGGGTGTGTCTGGTTTTGAGGCGCTACAAAAAAAAAAAAAACAAAAAAACAAATCATGACATGTTTTCTTTCTTTCAAACTTCCGAGTCTAACTTGGGAAGCATGTTGTGGGGTTCAAAGGCTCATGTTGAGGCTGACAAGCTCGTACGTGCCCTTCAGTCTCTCCTTACAACCCTCCTACCTTTCACAAACGCAGATACTTCTGGAACACGAGCCTGACTGGGCAGATACCAACTTCCATTGGCACACTTACAAACCTGGTCCAATTGTGAGTTTCGAACTACCCTTACAAACCTGGTCCAATTGTGAGTTTCGAACTACCCTTACAAACCTGGTCCAATTGTGAGTTTCGAACTACCTTACAAACCTGGTCCAATTGTGAGTCTCGAACCACCCTTACAAACCTGGTCCGATTGTGAGTTTCAATCCAGACAAAGGTATGGATTGCGAGGTTGGCAAGGGTTGCTCTTGAAGCAGCAGCAGGTTGATTCCAGTCTCATACTTCGCAAGGTTCTCTCTAGGATATGTCTTCCTGCATGCTAGGCTGGTCTCGACTCGAGCTGACCAAGCTCGACTCGACCGGCCCATGACAAAAAGGAGGCGAGTATAATTTGCCTCGGTGGTTAGCCGTGTCTAGCAAGGCTGTTTAGCTGACTCAGAAGCTGGCTTAGGAGCCACCAGGCTGGCTGATCTCCAGCTGACCAGGACCCATGGCAAAAATGAGGCGGGTATTACTTGCGACGTCGCTTGCCCATGCCTACTACCTCGACCACATCACTTATGAGCTGAATTGGAAGTGGCTTTGCAAGCTGTATTGGGCGGTACAAGAGAGCAAAGCAATGAGATAGTCCCGAGATCACTCTTTGGCTGAATTTGAGTTGCGATTAAGAACTTACAGAAGTGAGATGGACCTGAGTTCATTTGCTCTGTACGTGTTCTGTATGTGTGCTCGCTGTGTTCCTCCACTCATCAGGCAACTTTGTTACAACGACATAACTGGCTCCATCCCTGCAACCATCGGCAATCTTAAGAATCTCACACACTTGTTAGTGCTGTTCCTCGTTCGGTTAACATGTTTTTGGGAGAAGTGTTTCTCGCTCAACTGTTATGTTAATGGTGTTTCTTGTTCGGTTAACATTTGAGTATTGTTTTGTCATTTGTTTGATGTGCTAGCAAGGTTCCTGCTTTCGTTCACATGTGAATGCCGTGCTTTTCCTCGTTCAGCTGACTTGTGAGCCCCACCCAGACCCCGGATGCTTGTACTCGGCTGCAGTGACGCTGGTTTTGCTGATGGTCTCGATTGTCTTCTCTGTATTACTAAGCATGAGCGAGACGCCTGGTTGGGTTGGGCCGGCTTGCCCAACTGGGTCGGGTCGTCCCCAGGCCTTTTTTTGTGGGGCCCGTGCATGCCCAAAGAGGAGGCTGGCACGGGTTTACTATCAGGCTAAACCCGGCCCTACAAGGCTGGGTCGGGTCAGGGGTTTGAAACCAGTGACCCGGTTGGACCCGACCAAGTACCCACCTGGCCCGCCAGAAACGGGTCGGGTCGGGTCGGGTCTGGCTGCGTGCTCATGCCTACATGTTACAATTGATGCAAGTAGTAGTTCGGATTTTGCTCATGCATGCTGCATGCCCTAACAATGCAAGTCTACCATCCACATTCTGCTAGTTGAAGCTCGATTGAACTAAGCCCTTAGCCCGGCATACGCACACAATGTGTTGGCGCCCGACGAAGCTCTTAAATCAAGGCCTTAGCATTGAGCACCGAGCATTCTTGTGGAAGTCTGTGCACTGCATCGGACACTGAGCAAGTGCTTCCTTGCTTCTTTGCGCACTGCATGTTGCTGTTGCTATCAGTATAGTTACTTGTATAGATAGTAGTAGAAAGGCATGCCGCATACCCATGCTCACAAACCTTTGTTTGCCCTTTATTTCCATTCCACCCAATTTCTGAGATGCATGTGGCTGCTCGACAACCAGCTGAATGGCTCCATACCAGCGACGTTCTCCAGCCTTACATTGTTGACAAGCTTGTGAGTTATACTTGTGAGTTTCGTTGTTTGACTGTATGAGATCTGGAGTTGTACACCTTTTCATAGGCCCAGATGTTAGCCGTGCATTCCATTCTACCCTGATCTGGTGTTATATACACTTCAACCGTTTCACTGGAATCTATATCATTTCCTCTCTATGTAGTGTAGTCTGTATGTCGTGTGATGTTGATGATCTAATGCGATTTAGTGCGTTGGGAAAGGATGGGATGCGATGCGATGCGATTCAATGCAACCTCATGTGATGTGATGCGAGGAGATGCGATGCGATGAAAGGAGATGAGATGGGATGGAACGGGATGCAATGGATTGAACGGGATGCAATGGGATCTGATATGACGTGGTGCAGTGGGATTTGTCGTGAAGCGATGTGATAAGATGAGATACGAATTGATGTGATGTGATGTTATTCCACGCTCTCTTCAACACCACCACCAGCGATGCAATTCCTTGTCCTTCCTTGACGAGGTTCTCAATACAATAATCTAGCTAGCTGAATATCGGTACAATACTTGCTCATCGGCGTCACCCTTGTTGCATCTGCTCGTAATGAAGAGGTAATGAAGCTCATAACGTTTGGAGCGACCATGATCGACCATGAGCAACCTTGGCCGCTGTGAGCAACCATGGAAAAGCAGACAGTCTCACTGTTTTTTTTTTTTTTTTTTTTTTTTTTTTTTTTCACTTTGCCTTGTGCATGCCTTACATACACACTTCGTGTATCTCGGTCCCACCAGGAACCTTGGCTACAACGAACTGATAGGCACTACTCCTAGCTTCCTTGGCAACAACCTCCCAAGTCCTGCTCAATTGTGAGTGCCGCTGCTCATCACTGTATTGACATGTGACCCATTCACACCACATGCCATGTGACTCACCCACTACACATCCGCACCACATGACATGTGAACCACCCACATCACTTCCGCACCACATGCCATGACCATTACATCCACACCACCACTTGCTTATTCTTGACAACACCCTTGTGGCTTGCCACTCTTCCTGAGTGTTCGGACGTGTCACTCTGTGATAAACATTGCCATTATGGCTCTTCACCCACTTAACTGAGGCCATCACAATGCTTGGAGTCTACTCTGCTGCACTTTACATTCCACTCTCATGAAAAGCAGATATTTGGCAGGGAACTATCTGACTGGCACGATACCAGCTACATTAGGCAACCTCTTAGATCTCGAAATTCTGTAAGTCACTTGGTTTGACCCTCTTCATTGTTCGTGAGCCTCTTTTCCTGGACTGATTATGGCAAATGTCTCTGATCTTGCTCTGGAGGCTCACAGATGAACCCCAATATCCTTCTGGTTCACATTCTTGCCCCCCACAAAAGACCCACAATCACGCACACACGCACGCCGCACACATGCACACACACGTGCACGTGTGCACAAATACACACACACACACCATGAAATGGAAGGATTAGACCGACGGCATTCCCTCCACGGACCATGAAATGGAAGGATCCAAGAAAAGTATAGCACGTTTGCTTGCTGTGTATGCATTAGCAAATCACAAGGAGATTATAACCTGATGATTGTTCGTTCCTCTCAATTTCGAATTGAGGGAAACTTACAAGGTTGAGCTTTACTTGCCCCGAGTTGAGAAACGTCAACCCGTGGCACCCTGCCTTCCCGCCACCTGTTTCACTGATTCTACTCGTTACTCTTTGTACGTAAGTGTTTTCTACCGAACAAGTGCACTATACTGTATTAATAGCTTTGCTATGCCAATCTAGGCAGTGTGTTCTGAGGATGCTCAACGTGAGCACTTGTGCATCAGCCTATTCCCATATCTTACACACACCTATACACAACACCTACACACACCACCACCTGCACACGCAGCATGGACTTGAAGTTTCCACATGCGTGTTTCCCGTTTCTTCCACTGCAGAGATTTGAGCTACAACCAATTGATCGGCACAATTCCTAAATCGCTTTACAATCTCACAAACCTAATCACATTGTGAGTGCGGTTCTTCTTGGCTTTCGAGAATGGTTAGCCCTGTCCAAACCGCAAGCGTGCAGTCCAGCTCACCAACCAGTTGGCGTGCTTTCATACCCGCCTTCTTCTTGTTGTTTATCATGTGATTTCTTCTGTTTGTTTGATGTGACTTTTGAGTTGACTCAGAAGTCACCTTCTTTGTTTTGTTGTTTATCATGTGATTTCTCCTGTTTTTTTTATCATCAGTGAGGTTCGAGCCAGCCTGCTTGGAACAAGCCGGGGTGTGGCTCAACCTTTGTGAAAGGCTGAGCTAGGGTCTAGGAGGTCCCCACATCTCGTGGCTGGTGTGTGAGGGCTCGTGGCTTGTCTGGATTAGGCCCAAAGTCAGCATGTTACGAATCTCAACTAGGCCCAAAGTTTTTCGAATCCGGAAACCAGCACTTTGTATCTGACTCAGGCATAAAACCAGCACTTTACGAATCAGGGTTATGTGAAAACCAGCACTTAACGAATCCAGGTTAGGCTTAAAACCAGCAGTTAACAAATCCGGGCCAGGCCCAAAACCGGAACTGTACGGATCCAGGTTAGGACCAAAACCAGCACTTTACGAATCAGGGTTAGGTCCAAGCACCCAAAAGAGGTCTGGGACATGGCCACGAGTCGAGTCGCCTCGAGTCAGAGTCGAGTCGATTCAGATTCGAGTTGAGTCACATCGAGTAGGAGCCAAGATGGGAAATCTGTCAAGACGAGTCGAGGCACAGTTGAGCCAGTTTTTTACAACTGTCGACTCGCGCACAACTTTCTACGTCGAATCATGCCTGGCCATGTCCCTTGACTCGCTGACGAGTCATGGGGCAGGAAATTGACAACTGGAATCCACGTGGACCGAATTGGTCGCCCTCGATTCAGCCAACTCGTGTCTGACTAGGGTGTCTGAAGTAAGTCGAATCAGGCGATGCATTGACATTTCCCCTCAAGCCAACTCAACTTGACTCTAGTCAAGCCTTGAAAATGAAATAACCGACTCGAGTGGACCTAAATTAAGTCGAGCAAAAACTCGCCTCGACTGACCATGTCTATTTGAGATGCGTGTGCTGCTGGCTGGGTGGAATTGGCAGCTGTAGCCGTAGCTCGTGCAGTGATGTAAATGCAGTCAGCAACACACGCGTGCGCCTGAAGGGAAGGCCAAAATGATAGCTGGTGTACACTCATGCTTTTTTATTTTGAAATGCTGATATTGAGAACACTGCTCGTCTCCATATTGTGTTATCTAATGCCCATATACAGCAACCCTTGTTCCTCACCACATGTGTGTCTTCCACCATGCTCGCATCATCATCCCTCCAATGTCAGGAACCTTGGTTACAACTTCTTGTCAGGAACCATTCCTGAGTCCATTGGCAAGCTCACGAATCTGAACGTCTTGTAAGTGCGTTCCACTTGGTTTGGGATCCGAGGCAGGACCACTCCCTGGTGCTTGCCTAATAATGTCACTTGATTTGAGCGTTTTGCCTTCTGGGAATCAGCTGTAAGCCACAAGGAACCTTTTGTTGAAGCTCGGGTACAGAATGGTTGAACCTGGAATATGTTAGCTTCTGCTCGGTCCAACGGTTGCAAGCATTGCAAAGCAACGCTGCGGCTTGTGATCAATCTCGTGGGTCCACCAACTGTCAAATACATTAAGTTTATCGGTTGTAGTTCAAAAAACGATACCTGGTCACAAGTTAAAGCCCGGATACCTTGTCATGAGTTCGAACCAGAATTCTTTGTCGAGAGTTCAAACCAGGATTTTTGGTTGAGAGTTTGCACCAGGTTACCTGGTCGCACGAGTTCGAACAACGATACCTGAAATCAAGGCGCGCGATTTCTTTCCTCGTTTCTCATGCCTGCCTGTTTGTAGTCCAAAACACCTAGTCACTTTCCTCGTTTCTCATGCCTGCTTCGCAGGTGCACGTAGCTGGTTGGTGCACTCTTCCTTGTCACGTGCACAGCGCAGACGCTTGGCAGACTCCATGCCAACGACTGCGCCCACCAGCCACGTCGACCTCGGGATACCACCCCCGTGGTCAGCCTCGCAGAAGCCACCCCCGACGACCTTCGCACACGTCGCCTGGGTATGTTGGTCGGGCGGGCAACCACTCCTGGTCGACCAGCTCGGTCGATCTCTGGCTGCACAAGCCCGGCGTCCCCAATGTTCGGCGCCCTCCACCCCGGCGCCCGCTCGACGCCCAGCTGCTTGGCGTCCTACTCTTCGACGCCTTCCAGCTCGGCGTCCCCAGCCTCCCCTGTCGAGGTCGACGTCGGCCCCTCCCTCGTCGACCACCAGGTCAGGTCGACCACCTGGTCGACCACCCCAAAGTTGGCGCCCTGAAGTCGGCGCCAGTGCAGTGGCCCCTGCACAGGTCGACCACCTTGTCGACCAGCGCGCCCACTGTTGCAGGTCGGCTGCACTCCCCCGCACACCCGACCACCAGGTCGGCTCCGCCCAAGCGAGGACTGGGGCCTAACACAACTCCCATTGACACATGCGCTGCTGCCAACGCTAGCAGCTAGCCGCGCGTTGTCATCGCGCCGCCAGCCCACGCCAGCCACTCGCAGTTGTGCCGCCTGCGCCAGCCAAGCCGCCCGTGCCGCCCATGCCGCTTGTGCCAGACCGCGACGCTACACCGATTTCACGCCTGCCGTGCGGGCCCTTCTGTTGAACTCATTTTTATTATATAGACTGTTTGCTGTAGTTCCTGCAGTGTTTGTGGTATTTCCTGTAGGTGCTGCACCTCCCTTGTTTCCTATTTGTATCTTTGCTCCATATTGAATCTCTCTTTGTGGCCCAACTCCCTCTCTCGATACCATCGCCATGCTCCTAGCTCCTAACTCTCACCTCCTAAGCCATATCCTATCTTGACACCCTCCCCCCTTGCATTTTAGAGCATTTTTTCTCCTCCTACTGTGGTCGTTCTACATGTTACCTACTATAGCTGAGCACCTGCTTCCTTCTATTATGGCGACTGAGTCGGTGCTGCATATGGATGCAAAGGGTTGTCTAGTGGACTTTCCGTCGTGGCTTCTCGATGTCTACTCTACTTGCAGGACCAGCTTCAGTAACACGAGCACGCTTCTTGTGAGCTCCCAACCCCGCCGTGTCCGGACGATCCTGTTGCTGAAGCCACTCCTGACTAGCAGAAGGAGTAGCGCATGGCTCGCCATGAGTGCATGTACTGCTGCATGCCTCGCTTTCGTCGCCACCTCCGCAGTCCAAGCGGGATCACTTTTGCTAGCAGCTGACGAAGGAATGTTTGGATTTTGTTATCGCTCTCTTGTCCACTCTTTCGTCTTCTTCTTTAGGCCACCACTATTTTTTCTGTATTTTTAAAAGTATACACTGCAAACGCAATTGCATATTATCATTATCGGTTGTAACCGAGCGTGAGTAGGCAAAGGCTCACTGCCCCCATATGGGTTTCTACGGGGGGTTGAAGACCGTCATTGGATTTATCCAGATGGACTCAAAGGCTCTTGTCCACATCCATCTCTTATCGTCAGCCACTCATGTCCGACTCAGCAAGCGTTGCTCCTCCAAAATACCCCGCGGGAGCTTTTTCCTGTTTTCCCCACCTCTCTGTCTCCGCCACGTTGCTTCCATCGCCTTGGTGTAAATCCTTGCATGCTGACGGAAGGCACACAGCACCCGCCGCAGGACTCGGCGCGCACGGAACCTTATTTCTCGGAACACCGCCTGACACCTCTCCAACCAGAGTTGATGCAGTGTGATGGCGATAAATGTCTCTTCCTGGAAAGCTGAGTTGGAGCCGCCTTTCCGGAAGAGAAGATCCCCCAGCGAGGCCACCTCGCGGCGGGGATTGAGGTGAAGTGCACGCTTCAACGCCATCACCACCACTTGGGTGCGCGGACAGGTGAATAAGCAATGTTCCACTGACTCCACCTCAGCACAGTGCGGGCAGACCAGCTTTGTGCTGAGGAAGGCCAGTCTCTCGCCAGCTTGGAGGTTCATGCAGTGCAGGCGCGTGAGAAAGTCCCTTGGTCGATCTGCCCGTCTTAGAAAATAGGCAGCCTCAGCCTTCTCTCCTTAGGGTTCGAGCCAAGCGAGCTCCCAGGCAGGGGTCAACAGCAGGTTCCTCCATTTCTCTGGTGCTTCAGCGAAATCCCCGTCAAATTAGCAGGCCCCGTCCCTCCTAACTCAGCTGCCAGTACCTCCTTTGATTTCAGAAACCCTTTCCTACCGCACCAGGTCCCCAAGTCTTGTTTCCCGCAAACGCTCAGCATCCTGCTGATCTCCTTCCGGCGTGGCCACACCCACCAACATTTCCATGTTAAACACCAACCTCTCCCTCGCCGCTTCCGCTCTCGTGGTCACCGCCGGACGAGTGCTCAGTGGTGATTCCATGAAGCTTTTGCATGACTGCTTCCACCGTTGACTTCTCCCCTCCCAATGTTTCAGTAGCTTGTCGTGCGTCGTGAAGTAGTCCAGTGAAAGGTCGGTTGCCTGCACCATCAAGGCGCGCTTCAGAAGGTTCGTCTTCGTCATGAGCATGTCGTTACGTCTGGCCGACAGACCAAGACAATCATCGGGTCCTGCACTCCCAATCCGCCTTCTCTCCTCGATGTCTATGCCAGATCCTTGCTCCACAACAAGAACCGCTTGGGCGATGAGGCGTTGTTGTCAAATAAAAAAATGTGTAGTAACTTCTCCGTCTCCACCCAGGTCTCTACACGGGGGGGGGGGTAGACTTGAGCCTAAGAGGCAACCTTGGGTTGGATATAGCAGTTCATTACTGCTGATCTTGCTTTGACTGTGAGATATATTTGTCTCGCTAACCAACTTCTTTGTGACATTTCCCAGCACCATGCCACCACCTTCTGCCCTTTCTCTTTCCTGATCTCCCCTCTCTTGATGCTAGTTTCAATGCTGCTTGCACTACTGTAATCCTTGCTGAACACTGCCCCCCCAGAGTATTCTACTGTGCTAGTTCGCGACCCGCCCCCGTGACCGCTTCGCGTCTGCTCGCGATGCCTACCTCACTGTTCACCCCACGAGCCACACTATCAACCTATTTGAGACGCGTATCACTGAGATAAAGTACTGTCTTTACGCTCGGCCTCCGCTGGTACTGTGCTTTCCCCCATCTTTGGGGGATGTACCTGGTCCCTGCTTGCTACCCCCGCAGCCTCGGCCTCGACGGAGCTTGCAACAGTTTCTGCCTCTGGTCGGCAGCGAGGTCGCAAGGGTGGTCGCAAACAGTAGTAGTCATTGTTTGCATTGTTGCAATCGTATCTCAATGTGCGCGTTGTTGACTGTCTTGCGCAGGAGCTGAAGCTTGACGGTTGTCAAATGTGAATGACCTCTCGGAGTTGACGCGGCGGTCTTCTCCAGGGAGAGGAAGTCCAGCGACGCCACGTGCATAGCTTGAGCCATCAACGCTCATCGCCTGATGGCTCTTGAGAGCGTTGATGCAGGCGACCAGCTGCTCAACGAGAGCGGCGCTGACGGAGGTCACCGCAGAGGGTGCAGTGGGTGTTGCTGGTGGTGGGCCCGGGGAGTCTGCAGTGGCTTTTCCTTCTGGAGCCATAGTGATGCAGAGTCTTTTAATGCTGTAATGAATAATTTATAGAGAGATTGTTCTAAGAATAAGAGCTTGGCAGGCCTTATAATCCACTCTAGCTCTCATACCATGATGTTATAACTGAGGATCGAAGTGAATAGGATAAAGTCGCCAAGTGTGAGGGGAGAGAACAGAAAGTATCTGTAATGACCTTGTTGTAAATTGAAAGAGAACAAGATGATTATGAGATAGGAGTACAAGGATATAAATAGCAATCCTAGCTAGCCATGTAGTCTGAGGGGTACATTCCCTTATTAACCGAATTACATTGCTACAGTAACCCACGACTATTGCCATTCTAGACAAGTACCATGTTGCACTTCGCAACTGCCTTGTGCGGTTACTGGGCAGTCAAGGGTCACGACCGTTGACTGTCTTCGACTGTTGACCTTCGGGTGACCCTCGACCTTCCGCGTGCTCTATATGAGCTATTGCGGTACTAGTACAGGCGTTCACTTCGTTGTGGAGTGACGCGAGAGTGGAGAACCTTCGGGAATGTTTATGATAACCTTTCGGTTATTCCAACAGAATAGAAGGAAAAGAAATAATCGTTTCTAGAAAGAGACCTTAGGGCGCGTGTCTTTTGCAAATTTGGGTAAAGTTCAAGTTATTTTCTCGAATTTCCACATTTGAACTTTGGTCAACCTGAGGTCGAGTATCTCTACTTCGGGTGATCGAGGAGCACCGTCAACAAGTCCGACTCGCGCATGGAACAACACACTTCGACCATCATTATTCCATGTTAAACAGTAAATCCCGAGTAGCGCTAAACTTGCGTAGGTTACCCGGTTTGGCGGTGCAGTTCGTGACCGTATCCGGCTTCGGTGGTATATGATGGCCTCGTTGTTGTCGCTAACCTCGTGAAGTTTCGTAAGTGCGCAGAAGAACACATGATTGGATAAATGTAAGCGTAAAAATCCGAACGTAGGTCGACTTTAGTTCAGTGTCCAACTTAGCTCACACAGTTTGAACAAGGACACACAATAGCCTCGCGAATGCTTTGGCGAGTATAACTAAATAGGTTACCAGCAAAAGATCGACCCTGTTTCCGAACGTCTACACCAAAAGACGCGCGCCCTTATAAACGCCAACTCTTATACCAGAAGATCTGTACATTTGAAGCTGAAATGATCAAGCACGTGTGGCATCAACTACAATGACAAAACGCCAAAGAGATGAGGTGGGGTGGGGCTATGCGTTCCGGGAGATAGCGACAAAGGTCGTGGTAATTAAGATAAGGGGTATTAGAGGAAGGTAGAGATGGTGGAACAAAGAAAGGGTGATAAGGAGAGAAGAGCTGGAGAAGAAGAGAAGGGCCGAAGGAAAGGTGGAAAGAGGAAAAGAAGAGAGGAAGAAACTAAAGGGAGGAAACACCTAAGGACCAAAACACCACAGCAACCCGCACCACAGCGCGGGACACAGCCTTTCGAGCACAATCGCTAAACGCCTACACATATGCATCGAACATGTACTGCATATCTGCCACGCTCTCAAAGCAGCCGGTAATGTGATGCCAACTGCCCTGCCCTGCACCCAAAGGGACTGGTGCGGGCATCCACCCATCGTCTGACCCTCCCAATTGCCGCACCGCGTGCTGTATAATACTCTGAGCCTGCGCCCGCTGCAGTGCCACGGAAAGTCGTGTAGTGAGTCCGGTCTCGAAAATCCGTGCTGACCCGTCATCCCCCCCCCCCCCCAAGTCTTTACGCCGCTGTGCAATCCGCCGCGCACAAAGCCCTAGAAACTGCCTCATTGGCTCGCTGAGCAACCCAAACGTCTCCACTACACAAGCATAAAAATGTGGCGGCGGTTGTAATCCCTCTAGATGCGGTGCCCAATCCCGCAACTTGTCCTGCACTCGTCTGGCTGCTGCAACACCTATCTGCACCAGGGCCACTCGTCTAAGCCCGGTATTCCCCTGTTGCTGTGGATCTGCAATGGAGTCGTCTACCAACACCATCAAAGTTTTTTCTATATCGCGGCAAGTCAGGTCTGGAATGCGGGCTGGTGCCCCTATGCGGCCTGTGCGTCCAGCCTGCCTTTGCTGCTGTACTGGCTGCTACTGTGCCTGGTCCCTCTGTGCCTCCTCCCTTGTCGTCTCTGCCTCTCTATCCTCTCCCCCACCCACCTGCCTCCTCCCATCCCCTCTCCCCAACCCCAAACCCCCCAGCACCCTCGCCCTGTCCCCCCCCTCCATACCCTCCCCTCCTAACCCCTGCGCTCCCGCAGTCGTGTCCCTCGCCACCTCCTCTCTCCCTCTCTCCCCGAACCAGCCCGCACCCAAGGGCTGGGTCGCCCCCTGGACCCGGAGCCTGACCTGACCTTGCTGGCCATCCCGCTGCTGCCCCTGCTGTCCCCTCTCCTCTACCCCACTCGCCGGCCTCTCCTGCCCCTGCTGAACCTCCTGTTGCTGGATGTGCTGTCCTCTCTCCTCTCCCCCACTAACCTGCCCCTCCTGCCATTGCTGGCCATGCTGTTGCTGTTGCTGTTGCTGCTGCTGCTGCTGCAGCAGCTGCTGCTGCTGCCGCGGCTGTCCCCTCTCCTCTCCCCTACATCCCAAAAAATATGGCCGCAAAAAGATGCCGCAAGGTCACCTCCGGGATACCTCCCGGTGGGTAACCCAAAGGATTCAGTATAGGTTTCCTCCAGGTCACCTCAAAGTTCGTTGTGACCTCAAGGTTACCCACAGAGGTAACCTACAGGAAACCGTCATGTCACTGCGATGATTCCGCTCCCACATTGCTGGAGCCAATCAAACGCCACCGTCAATCGCGCCGCGAACATTAATTCAAGTAGTACACTCCTACTGTACACTCAATTTAATTAGATTTACATGTTACTAATGCGGGACTGTATAATTATTATTCAATCGTTTTTCTCTTTTACGGTAATAACAAAAGGACAGGACAACATAAGGTGCCTTAGCTGAGCATATAAAATGAGCATTGGGGTACATGGATTGAAACAACACATTTCATACACGACACGCCTAAACAGTGTGCTAAAACGACGGGTAAAGGTAAAACCAGACAAGGTCAATGAGCACCGAATGGCAGCAAATCAACTCAAGTTTCCTGCTTCTCAAATAAGTCAACTTAATTTCCTGCCACAATAGAGTAGCGAAAACAACAAGCAGAGAAATGTTAGCAACGAGGAAACAATAAAGGAAATGGAATGAGATGAAAATAACGTTTCACGCCAGTGTCTAGTAAACAGAACTTACCAGAAAGAAGAGTCTTTGCATGTAGGAGGCTTGATTTCGCCTGCACAAGCACATCGCTAGGAACTGGAAACAATAGAAAACGACATTCCACGCCAGCAGAGTTTACTACACAGAGTATACTTACCAGAAAGTGACTTGGCAGGTAAGAATCTTGGTTACGCTTCACCTGCAACAGCACTGCGCTAAGGCAACCATCGCACAGAATGGCAGAGCTAAACGGGTGGTTGACAAATACAACATTGGCGCTGAAAAAAAACGCCATGAAACATAACGGCGATGTAAAACAGGTGACTCACTGGCGACTTGCTTACCTCGTATGCACAATCTATATCTCCAACATGAGCGCCTGCACGACGGTAGGTGCTGCCTGCAAAGAAACACACAAGCTCGAGGAAACAGTTAAAAACTGACGATAGAATAATTACTAGTCATGCACGCCTCCAATCGCCAGGTTTTAAGACGTTGCTTAATCAGAAATGGAATGACGAGATACTAAGCTATTTATCGTTCACCCTATTTCCCCAGAAATGTCTAGGAAACTGAAGTAGCGGAAAGTGCGGAAATGGCGAGGCGAGTTAAAGCCCGGGTACAGCATGGTAATTTTCAAGTTCAAGATTCTTGAACTTGAAATCGCAAAAAACAGGGTTACCCTACTTGTTTTGAAGAAACTCTCGCAACCCCAGGCAATCGTCCTGCGACAACGGAACCCGAGTGCCCAAAAACAGAACTGACGCGATGATCGCCAACCATATGCACTGTTCACCACTCACATAACTTGCTTACCAAGTCGTACTCATAGACTAGGAGGCTCCAAGGCAAAAACTAGCGCTAGTTGGCAAAAGCGAGTCGTTGTTAGGGCTTTTTTTTTGTGCGGAAAAAAAAAAAAAGGTATCCACCTCAACCATCTTAGTCAGTGCACGCTCCGATTTGAGAAGAAACGAGGAATGAGAATGACTAAGGGAAAGTTGAATACAAATGCAAACCCTAGAAAACTGTACCCCATATGTGCTACCCCACTATAGCCTACAGTAGCTCTGTCATATAAATCTGACACACCCCCATAGGCAAAGTGGGGGAGAACAAGGGGTCACAAGACCAGTCAAGCAAAGCAAGGCAAGCTCAGGGTGGATCACAAAGTCACCACACATTCCGAGCACAGGTTCAAGGCCACAAGGCCAGTTCACATGCAGGATTACATATATATATAAGGCTAGACAAGCAAGAGCAGGTGTATATATATATGCAACAGTACAAACAAGGTCAAGGGGTGAGCAAGTGAGGCAAGGTAGGCACAAGGCCCAGCTGAGTACAGAAACGCTGATGATCACAAGGCGCAAGTGCCTTGGTGAAGATATCAGCAGTGTTGGCCTGAGAGGCCACGTACGCAAGCCGCAGCTGACCACGCTGCTGTAGCTCACGAGCAAGGAAGTAGCGGAGAGCAATGTGCTTCGTTCTGTGCTCCAGTCTCTGCTCTCGACACAAGGCCAGCATGGCCTTGTTGTCTACGTACAGCACTGGAGGAGAACGAGGCGGCTCTCCGAGGTCAGTCAGCAGGTAGGTGAGCCAGCGAAGCTCCTGTGCAGCCATGGCCCCGGCGTAGATCTCAGCCTCACAACTGGAGCCGAGAACAGAAGACGAGCGGGTAGCCCGCCACGAAATAGAGCCGGAACCAAGGCTGAAGGTGTAACCCTGTGACGACCGCTGCGTAGCCTGGTCGTCAGCCCAAGAAGCGTCTGCGTGCCCAGTGAGGACCACTGGACTCTGCCCTCCAAGCACAAGCCCCATGCCCGACGTACTGCACAAGTAGCGCAACACCCTCTTCGCTGCAGCCATGTGCTCCGGTCTGTGTCTCCCAGGAGCAACATAGCGTGCGAGAATGCTAAGAGGGTATGCAAGGTCAGGTCGTGTGCAGGTCATCAGGTACATGAGGCAGCCAACAAGCTCTGGGTACGGGCCACTCGACTCTACGGACTCATCCGAAGGCAGAGCTGAGAGCGAGTGGCGAGTAGGCAGAGGAGTGGCCTGAGGCGAGGAGTACGTGAAGCCGAAGCGCTGAAGGACCTGCTGCACCATGTGTGACTGAGTCAGGGTAATGGTGCGGCGTGCTCTGTCCCGGGTGATCTGCAAGCCAAGGTAGCTGCGCAGTTCACCCAGGTCTGTGCACGTGTGTCTCTTCTGCAGCTCGGACTTCACGTGGGCGAGTCCAGCAGTGTCAGCTGTGGCAAAGACCAAGTCGTCGACGTACACGAGGATGTAGAACGGCGGCAAAGAAGTGTCGGTGCGCAGAAACAGCGATGGGTCGGCAGTAGAGGGAGCAAACCCAAGAGCCGCAAGTGTAGTCCTCAGTGTGTCGTGCCACTCACGCGGTGCCTGCCGGAGGCTCCACTGGGTGCCAGGAGGAAAGCAGCCAGATCTCCTCGTGCAGGCTGCCCTGCAAGAAAGCAGTGCTGAAGTCAAGAGAGTGCAGCTCGTAGTCGCGGTGAGCAGCTATGTGCAGCAGTACCCGAAGAGTGGTCATCTTCGGGGTGGGAGAGAAGGTCTGAAAGTAGTCAACTCCCTGCCGCTGACTGAAGCCACGAGCCACGTAACGCGCCTTGAAGACAGGCGGAGAACCCGGCGGTCGCTTGACCCTGAAAATCCACATGCCACTGACGATGTTCGCCCCAGGCGGGGGAACCTCGTCAACGTAGGTGCCTGTGGACTTCCAGGAAGCCATCTCTGTGTCCATAGCTGCCTGCCACTGAGAGGAGTAGGGACCCTCTATCGCCTCCGCGTAAGAGCGCGGAGTCGGGATGTCAAGTGCATCCGGGTCTCCCTCAGGGGTAAGCAGTACGGACACGAGATGAGGTGAAGCAGCAGCCAAACACTGGAACTCCTCCTGCCTGTCCTCAAGGACGTCCGTGCCAAGGGCACACTCACCCCCGACGGACGGAGGACAGACAGACTCAGACTCAGCGACAAGACAAGCAGCGTAGTCTAGACGACAGCGAGCAGCAAAGTCGACGAGCTCAGCAACTAAGGCAGACGCAGCAGTGGACTCAAAGGAAGGGTCAGTGACAACAGTAGCAAGGAGACGCGTGACAGTAGGGCTGGCAGCACGAAGAGAGTCCGACTCCGGGTCGGCAAGAGCAGGAAGAGAAGACTCAGGAGGAGAAGGCAAAGGGGCACGCAGAGGAGCAGTGGACGGACGCAGAGACATCCGGTGCGTGCCAGGGACAGGAGGAGGACGCTGACGCGAACCACGACCACTAGCGCGAGCAGTACGGACAGGCGACGCAGGACGCGACGCAGGCTCACGACGCTCGGCAAGACCTCCAGTAGGACCAGTGTAGGGAGAAGGAGCGGGCAGTGGGGAGGCCGGCTGTAACTGTAACTGTGACAGGACAGGCTGTGGACACTCTAAGGGAGGAGGAGGACCAGTAGAAGGCGGGAGACCAAGAACCTGCTGAAGGAGCGGAACGAAGTACGGCCGAGGCCGCGCGGCGACTCCAGACACAGCAGGGACAGTACCAGTACCCCCAGCGGCAGCACCAGCGCCAGCAGCACCTCCAGCTCCAGTACCTCCAACAGCACCAGTAGCACCCCCAGCAGAACCGCCGCCAGGACCGACAGCAGTAGCCTCAGCGTCAACACCCTCCGCAGCTCCAGCTCCAGTCGTACCCGTAGGCCCAGCAGCTCCAGTACTCCCAGTACGAGCACCTCCGGGACCCGCGGCACCAGCACCCTCAGTAGCCGAAGAACCTCTAGCACCAGCAGCACGCCTCCAGCGCCGGGCAAACCACTCGCGCAGCTCCTGTGGAGAGAGTGGCTCCCGCCGAGACGAAGCACCCGGAGAACCTCCAGGCTCAGCACCGCCAGACGCCACACAAGCAGGCCCAGCTCCCTCAGGCTCCGCACCCCCAGGCTCAGCACCTCCAGGCGTAGCACCCCCAGGCTCAGCACCCCCAGGCTCAGCACCCCCAGGCTCAGCACCCCCAGTAGTAGCACCTCCAGGCTCAGTACCCCCAGGCTCAGCACCCCCAGTAGTAGCACCCTCAGGCTCAGCACCCCCAGGCGTAGCACCCACACGCTCAGCACCCCCAGCGTCAACACCCCCAGGCTCAGCACCCTCAGCAGCACCAGAGTCACCAGTAACCTCGACAGGCTCGACTGCGTCTACCTGGGACACACCTGAAGGGGCAGGACCCTGAGGAGGGAGGGGGTCTACCGGGGGGGGACCTGGCACAAGGAAGAGCGGTGGTGGGGGGAGGGACGGAGTGCGGTAGGGGAAGAGGCGGTAGTAGGGGACCGACTCGTCAAACGTGACGTCCTGGGAGGACAGAACACGGCGAGAGGTGGGGTGGTAGAACTGCCACCCTGGCGCGTCAGGGGGGAAGCCAAGGAAGACGCAAGGAGCAGCACGAGGGGACAGCTTGTCCGCAGACAAGTCGCGGACAAACGCCCGAGATCCCCAGACACGGAACGCAGACGCATCGCCAACCTTCCCCGTC